AATGAGGTTTCCCTACTTGTTTTGTCATAGTCCACTTGTTTTTGCCACATTCCCACATACGACAAGAGTGTCCACACAGATAAATTGGTGGCCCAATAAAAACTTGGTCCCTTTCCCTGTGGCAGCCCGGCCCTGGCAAGAATAGGAGGGGACAGAGTCACTTTCCTGTGRCATGATCCTGCAAATTTTATAAATTTCATCTTAGAAGTAGAATAGGAGAGGTGTCCAAAGTCCATTTCAGCCCAGGGGAAGCCAGCCATGGAGGGATGAAGGGCTTGGGGCTGTTAGAAGTGACCCTGGACTCAGAGAACCTGATATCCCCACTCTCTCAGCCTTTTCCTGGTGCGATACAGATTTTGCTAATTCTTAATCACCTAAATGTCAACTGTAAAATTAAAGATATAATAGTACCAATCCAAATGCTATTTTTTTTATTGTTCTCTGGTTAGAATGCCAGCAAGGGCCACCATTCACAGGTAGAGTGTCCCCAATTCCAAAGATGAAAGCAAGAAAGTCTGATTCTGAATGTAAAACTGTTTCTTGGGCTGGGGTTGTAGCTCAGTGGTAGCGTGCTCACCCAGCATGTTTGAGGCACTGGGTTCAATTCTCAGCATCACATATTTATTAATTAATTAATTGTCCATCAGCAACTAAAAATAATAATAAAAATAAACTGCTTCTCTCCTCCTCAGTGAACTCCACCTTGGTCCCTGTCTTTCCCCCCTCCCTTCACCCCCAGGATTAGCCTTTTTTATCCCTATAATGTAATTATTTCTCTTCTTTTGATTTCCCTTCTTATCACTGTGACTCTAAAGGAAAAGGTTACGTTCAGGTCACCACATGCCAGTCTCTGGAAATCTCTATTTCTTCAAGAAGCTCTTCAAATTAAAAGAGAGCAAGCACTGGACAATTTTTAAAAATCTAATTATAAAACCATTATTATTTTAGGCTGAAGATCATAAATCTAAGTGCAGGGTTACCCAAATTAGAAAAGGCTTTGAAGACTCTCACAGGAAGGAACCACAGGGCTCTGACACAGACCATGATGATGACCCCTGTGGACTCCAGCCTTCAGGCCTCCAGCCAGCCCCCTTGGAGTCCATGGGAAATGGAGAGTCCTCAGTGAACGGATGGACTCTGCTGGGCATGGAAATAACCAAAGATTCCACTACTGGATCTACTGACCATTTAACCCAGAGAACGTGGTTCATGAGATGAAGGTTCTCCAGGCCCTGGCCTAGAGGCTGTGACTTACTTGTTCTCAAAGTGAACATGCAACTTGCCCTTTTTCCAAGCTTCCCAGGATGTCTCTGATTCTGATGTTCAATTGGATTTTGGAACCACTGGTCCAGACCCTTCTGGATTCCTGCCACTTTTATTTTTTGCTAAAATTGTATTGCCCTGGTCTTGTTTATACCTCCTGGATACTCCCTTGATCCCCTAGGTGAATTCAAAACAATAAAAATAATATAAACATCTACACTTAGTATTAGGATGACTGAGGGCTTTAAAAATAATAAAAGCACCTACACTTAGTATTAAGATTGCTGAGGGCTTTACATGCATCTCCTTGTGCAATGGGATCAAGTGAGTATTTTCAGTGTCACTATACAATTGAGAAAACTGCACTTCAGAATGTTAGTGTCTTATCCAAAAACACCCAGCCAATAAGTGATACACCAGGGATTTGAACCGAGACCTGTCTATTTCCAAAACTGGACTCTAGACCATGGAGTAAATGCCTCCAGAATCAGTCATTATAATTTYTGGAACTTCAACTACGAACAGGCACTTGGCTGGACACCTCCCATACAAATCTCCAATACTCATGATAGACCTGTGTTTCTAAAATGTGACTCTTGTTCTCTAGATTCTGATTTACAGAATAGGTCTTTGTTTTCTATAAGCCATCTGAATTACTGACTCCAAACCACTGTCTCTAGCCCTCCCTGGGTTCCTTCTCTCACCCCCAAACCTGTTACCGTTCTGGACCAGACACACACTCAGGCATGGGGCTGGGGGCAAGCACCTGGTCCTCTGTTATCAGTCCACACAGGTGATCACCGACTGGACCCATGGGCATGGAAGGCTCACTGTGACTCCCATTCCTCCTGCAGACCATCTGCTGGCACACACAGAATCATTTCTTCTCTGAGTTCTTACCTCCTGGCAGGGTTTCTGGGAAGCAAGGAATCATCTCTTCTGTTCTCAGACCTGGAGAAAATTCTCCCTCCCCACCTCCTCAAAACACAAGAGTCATCTTTCTACTGATGGGAAGGTTAGGGTCCTTCTCCCTTCACATCCCTTTGAAACAGTGCATCCCTTTTCCGGTCTTTGTGGGCTAGAATTCACTTACCGTAAGGTCCTATGTTTCTGGAAGACAGAAGTTCCGCAGACTTCTCTCTACTTTGCCCCATCTTTCATAGGAGAAAGATCCAAAAGGACAGGTTGGGAGAAAAATAGTAAGTTGATATCTCAAAACTCCATCTCAGGCCCATGCTGTCTCCATTTAGGTGAGGAGATGGGATCCATTTTGCATAGCTAGTAGCTAGTGAACCCAAGATCCCAGGCTGGAAAGCTCCTACTCGGATTCTAAGAAGTCCTAACCCTCTTGCCTCCCAGGACCCTCTCTGTCCAGCTCCAGGGAAACACAACAGACCTTGTGCCCTAACTCCCCACAGGAAGGTGGGGCCCACGGCAGGCAGGACGAGCTTGGGTGGAGGTAGAAGTAGGTAGAACCCCGAAAGGGGACAGACACCCCCTCCTACTTGTCCTGTTCCAGGAAAGCCTCACAGAACCTGAGCTGGCATGAGTTGGTGGTAGAGGTTGGGGTGGGGCCAGGTAAGGGAATGACAAAACTAGAACAACTTTGAAGGCCTCTCTTCCCATGTAGAAAATGGTAAGAAATATACTCTGCTGGGTGTTTTGTTTTGTTTTGATTTGTTTTTTGGTTCGGTTTGGTTTTTTTCGGCACTTGGTCTCATCAGTGTCTTTGTGAGTTATTCYGCAGAGCAAGGTGAGGRTTGAAGATGGTCATTGGCAGCACCCAGAGGAAAAGCAATGAGATTAGGCTCAGGGAAGAGAAGCCTCAGGGGATCATGAGATGATTTTAGGCCCCAACTTGATAGGGAAAAACAAGTAAAACAGAACTTTAGCTCCTGCTTCACTGTGCAGGGAGAGAAGGAGCCAGTCAGAAACTGACAGGAAGGCCTCCAAATTGCAGGCCTTGGGAAGGAGATGCAGCCGTAGGTCCACCTAGTTAAGCTTCGGTTAGGAATCAAGACCATCCAAATTTGTTGATGGTTTCAGAAGGTCTTTTAAGTCAGGTTTATCCAGATAAAAATTATATAACTGCCTCCACAACATGCCCACTTGGCTGAGAGCCATCTCCAATTCCACACGACCAAAGCTGAACTGAATTCCTAGCCTCCCCCACCAAACCTGCTCCATCCATGGCTTTCCCTACCTCAGCCGATAACGACTCCATTAATCTACTTGCTCAAACCAAAACTCTTGAAGTCACCCTTAGCTCCTCCCTTTCTCCCACCATCCCACATCCCAGCAGTCAGAAAATCCCATTCATTGTAACTTCAAAGTCCATCCAGCACCCATCCAGCCACACTGTCATTGCGCTGGACCAAGCCACCATCACCTCTCACTGGGTCAGCTGCAATGCCTTCCTAGTAGGTCTCCCCCCTTCACCTTGGCTCACTTGCATATCAGAGTTAGCTTTTGAAAATATGATTCAAATCATGTAACCCCTCTGCACGGAATGGCTCCTTGTGTCTCAGCATAAAGGCCAAAAGCTTATGATGTTGTCTCCCTAACTCACTGGCTTCCTTGTTATTCTCAGAACATACTACATGTCCTCTGACCCCAGGGCCTTTGTACTAACTGCCTAAAGCACTTTTCCCCAAGATTTCCACAGGGGCAACTCCCCCAGCTCCTTCAAACCTTTGTTCCAAGTTCAGCTTTCCAACAAGATTGCTGCTACCCACTCTGTTTAAAATCACTACCTCTTCCCTCCTCAACTCTGCTCTACCTTTTCTTTTTCCACAGTTCTTAAGGCATCTACCAATCTACATAAATCTCTTTTTTACTATGGCTATGGTCTATTATCTGACTCCTCCTACCCAGACTCCACAAGGACTAAAATCTGATTTATTCACTAGTATATTCTAACTGCCTAGAACAGTGCCTGGTACATAGTAGACACTAATGTCCTGAACAGATGAATAAAATTTAAATAATGTTAGAGATCCAAGGAAGGTGACAAGAGCCCTGCACTGCCACATTCCCATCCCCCTACCTGGTTCTGCCGAGTGGCCTTGCTTCTCAGTCCTCTCCTCAGTTGAGCATTAATTAAACAGAGGAGGAAAGCGCTGTTTACTCTGGGGCCACCGCTCAATGGGATCTTCAGCAACGGTATCTTTGCTTCTCCCTCAACTCCTTACACTGAGGTGTAGGGCTTTCTGTCCCTTTCAGCTGTAGAAACATTGCCTTACCACTCTTTGGCCACAAGCATCAGCACTTGTGCCCAACTCAAGAGAGATTGGACCCTCTGGGGATTCGCAGCATAGCAGGGTGCTTTTCCTACTCTTGAAGCTTAGTCTGCAATTTGAAAGAGGTGAGATGGCATCCGCCTTGCAGTGCTGTCAGAGAGAGACTTGGGCAATGTAGAAGCCACCTAGCCTGACCTTTGACAGGATTTCCAAACACAACATGTTAACTTTAAATTGATTAATTTGGAACTATGACCTTGGTCCAAGAAGTTAAGACTACATGACAAGATATTTTATTTTCAAAATGTATCAGAATTAAAAGAGACTTTTGTGAATGGATCTTTTTGGTATTAGATACAAGTAGATTTGGGGTTGGGGGCAACAAGGGAAATAGCTACACACTAGACAACATGTTAAAGGTTAATAATTAATGGCAGCCTTCCCTAGCAAAGTATCAATAGACATTCTGGTCTCATTAGCTCCAGAAATTAGCAAGAAGACCTCGGACCCTTGGTGAGAGAGGAGAAAATGGGAAATCCCCTGCGTGTCTCCATTTTCTTGGTTTTATGCATCTTTATCCAATCAAGTACTTCTGGACGAAGCCTGGAACCAGGTAAGAGCTAATCTTTTTTTTCTGGAGATGGGCATGGATTTTTCTTTTTTAAGTTTGTGTCACAGAGATTGATCGTATGGGACAGCATGCTTAAGAGCATACCAGGTGGTTCTATTAGTGGCACCACAGGTTCAAGGGACATGGAGCACTATATAAACAGGACTAAAATGTTAGACAATTACTCTGGAAGTAAAAGTAAAAGCGCCTGCAGCTAGCAGCTAAGTATCTCACATTTCTGATGCCGACACAGTCTTACTAAGATTTCTTTAGTGGAGAATGATCTGACTTGGGATCTTCCTGAGAGTTAATTTGGCATCTAATTTGCAGCTGGGGAGCACAGCATGCAATGCAATGCTCTGTCTTGCTGGGATTGTCGAATTGCCTGGCTCTCTCCACAGGGAGGGATTTCAGTTCTAGTTCTAGTCAGGTCTACAGTAGGGATATTACTGCACATTTTCTAGTCTTGACTTTTCTGCCCAAGTTTTCCTTGGAGCCTGAAGAATACACCAGCAGCCTCTCCTGTTTTGTCTGTAATTTCATAAACTAGACTGATGGCCAAAAATAGATCCAAATGCTAAATCAGGTAAGTGAAGTCCAGGTTCCTGTCTGAACAGCGCAAAAGATCATCAATAAATGACAGATAGGCTGGGCACAGTAGTGTGTGCCTGTAATCCCAGCAGCTCTGGAGGTTGAGACAGGAGAATAGTGAGTTCAAAGCCAATCTCAGCAATGGCGAGGTGCTAAGCAACTCAGTGAGACCCTGTCTCTAAATAAAATACAAAATAGGGCTGTGGCTGTGGCTCAGTGGTTGAGTGCCCCTGGATTCAATCCCAGGTACCAAAAATAATAATAATAATAATAAATGACAGATATGAAATTACCTGAACAATTTGTCCAAATGATGGGTATTTGTTGGAAATGAGTAACAAGATAATAACTGCTGAGGATTTTTTTTCCTCCAAGACTATGTTGTAGGGAGTTCCAAAAATCTTTGAGAATCAGGAATTTACTAATAATATATGTAATTGAAAAATGCCAGAAWTTTTTCCCCTTTAAGAAAAAGAGCTGTTCCTTTGCACTTGATTATTATTCTACATTCTACACTTACTAACTTTTTAGTAGTATTAATTAGTACCATTCACAGAGCATTTCATATGCCAAGCACTATGCTAATTATTTAGCATTCATCATCTCATTTTAAAGCTATATCCAAAAATGGCCTGTACATAATAAGTTAAGAGCAGGTAAAATTGCTGGTGGACTTTTATTCCCTGGGTTCACAGGGATTTCACTAAATCACTGCCTTTTGCCCACAATGTTGTGTTGTTGATTATTATTATTATTATTATTATTATTATTATTATTGAAATATAACAAGTGTCTAGAAAAGAACCTATACCCTAAGTCCTCATGAATTTTTGCAAATGGAACCAGCACCCCACAGCCACCTCTGTGTGCCCCTTGAGCCTTAACAGTTGGCTTTGCCTAGCAGGGGATTTGTTGTTAGTGGAAACACATAGTTGTGCTCCCTGGCATCTGGATTCTTTTTTTTTTTTTTTTTTTTTTATTGGTCGTTCAAAACATTACATAGTTCTTAATACATCATATTACACGGTTTGATTCTTTTATTCAATGTCCCGTTTGTGAGAGGCACCCTGAAGTTTCAAGTAGTCATAACTCCTACTCTGGGGCTCCTGGAGCCACACACCTCACCTGAACAGTGCAAGAGATCATCAAAAAGTGACAGAGAAGCCAGGCACGGTGGCTCACACCTGTAATTCCAGTGGCTCCAGAGGCTGAGACAGGAGAATAGTGAGTTCAAAGTCAGCTTCAGCAATGGCCAGATGGGCGAACACACCTCACTTTATTCATAGTTTCTACTATTGACTGGCCTGACCTGTTTCTGCCAGTGGGATTTGAGCCTTTAAGCCACCAGTGCTGAAGCAGAGGTTGAAGAAAGGAACAACGCCGCCACGCCCTCCCCCTCCCATCCCCCACCCTCCCTCCCCCACCTCCACTCCATGTCTGGGTGTCATCCAGATTTTTCTCAAAAATCTCATCATCCTGCTGCGTTCCCAGGTTTATTCAAAAGCAGAGGGAAGTGACTATGATGAGCAGGAGGGCTCCTCAGGAAAGAGGACCAGCGTCAGGAGGCCTCTTGCTCCCTTGAAACCAGACTCTCTTGGCAGAATTTTTTCTGCAAGGTGTGAGCCCCTTCTGTGCGTGTGACTGGTGCCATGTCCTCCAGGGGAACTGCAGGGATGCCAGCATCCTATGGTGGAGCCCTTCACACATGAGCTTCTTTAACAGTGGCTCCCAGCGGGGGCACTTTTACTCGGCAGGGGACATCCACAATGTATGGAGATGTTCTGGGTTGTCAGAGCAGAGAGAGTGCTTCCCTTCTGTCTGTAGTGGGTTGAGCCAGGGAGGCTGCCAAACTTCCCACCGTGCACAGGAGAGCCCATGACAATGAATTATCTGACCTGAGATGCCACAGCTGAAGAACCATGGTCTATGCCAAGCTTCAATGACATTAGTCAAAGCCAAGATGAGGTCGTTTCCTCCTGTTCCCCACCCCTCCCAGGCTGCTTCTTCTGAGTATTATTAACGATACTTCACTAGCAGATTCGTTCACATACTATACACCCAGTATGTGTCAAGCACTTTGTGAACATTTTATCTCACACTCACCCAATGTTTGAATAACCCAGCAATTGAGTGTCTTGCCCAGGTTTCCACAGATGATCAGGGAAGAGCTGGTGGAAGTTCCTGGGGCCTCTCCATGTCCTGAGGCTCCAGCCCTCTGCACTGTGCCTGAGCCCAGTGACTTGGTAGCCAAAGGGCATTAAAGAAGCATTCTGCTCAGTTCCTCTCACAGGGAGGCAGATTCAGACCATTGTTCCTGACTGTCAGCACCAAGGGGGACCAGATACTGTGAATTTCTTGAATGCCCATGGCACTGGCCCCTGTGGCCAGCCCTCACTGCTGAGTCCCAGATGTACCCCACTGATGTTGCCTCCAGACCAACACTGTTCCAAGTGGTAGTTGGAGCTGCTCTGGGACCCTGCCAGATCCCACCTTCTTCTGCCTCAGGTGCCCATCTTCTGCCTTCAGTCCCCATCACAGCTGCCAAAGCCTAGAAGGGGCAGGAGCCCATCCATTCAGTCACTCATGAGCCTGGGCCACACACAAGGCAAGGTGTGCCCAAACATTCTGTCTCCGTTAACCCCCAAAAGCTATTTTTATGTGGAATTCAGCTATCAATATTTGCCTTGTTGGAAATTAAAACAGAACTCTTTAAAAAAGTTTACTAGTGCTTTTAAATAACAATAAGCCTATCACATGTTAACATATATAACATAATTTTATAAAAAAATAACTTGCATTTTCCAAATAATAATCCAAAAGATGAGTCAAAAGAGTGACTTTTTTTACAAAGAAAATTTGCAAATCTATTTAATATCCGGCTTAATAGAAGACAGCTGGGTTCTCTTATCTGTGTCTGGAGTTAATCTATTGTGATATGTTGCTACATCTATGAAGAAAATCTGGACCCCACTTATAGGAAGAAGGGGGACATGCTTGGAGCCTTGATCCACACTGAGAACCATTGCATTTGTGCAAGCAGCACTTAAAATAGAGGACCCACGGCCTGCCCTGTCCCTGCTGGGACTTTCATCAGGGATGAAACAGTGCAGGAGAGGTGGCAGCTATCTGCCCTGGAAGTTGGCAATAAGGGAGCCTTTGTCCCTGGAGAATTTAAACACAATATTAGGACCAAAAAATTGATCTATCTTTCATTATCACATTTCTAAATAATGTCTTTGATAAAAACAAAGCCTCTCCCAGCAAAAAAAAAAAAATAGTTTTTTGATCTAAATAAAATCTATAGTTATTGTTGGGTTCTATTAATATATGTGTAAATGTGTAAACTTCAAATGATTATACTTTTATCCCTTATCCTTTAATAAGTTTTGTGTTCTACACAAAATTTAAAGAACCCCCAGTTATACAGTTAATTTAAATAACCCCCAGTTATGCAGTTGTCCCTGATACAGACTAGAGAGAGATGTGCTCCTTGTAGGAGTGAGTGTCATGGTACAAACTCCTTCCAACTCACTTGGGCACATCTGATGTCTCCAACCCCAGTGATGTTTACTACCTGCATTTAAACAGCAGACTCAAGAAAAAAAAAAAAAAGATAGCATGGTGATTGCAAAGACAAAACAGAACTTAAGTTACTTTCACTCTGTCATCCTTTGTGAGTCTAAGCCAAGACTTTTTCATTTGTGTTTAAAATTTAAAGCAATAAAGCAGATCACGAACTGTGAAGTATAAGAACTATTTGTAAAGTAGAAATTTGGGCTTATACTGGAAAAATTTTACTGCATTTGAATATCTTACTTGAAATTTACTCTTCTTTTAATTGCTCATTTAAAACTTAAGAATGAATCAAGAAAGTGATGATTATTAATCTTTGCATATATGTTACTGAAAATAACTTTGTCTTGTGGAACAGAGGCATATTACAATGATACAGTCTGAATGTCAAATACAATGCACATGGTACTGTGTCTAATGATGGAGATTAGACACATTTATAAAAAGTTTTCTCAACCAGAGCATGAAACGTAATGGTGCCCACTAGAGAGGCTCAAGCAGAGTCAGAGAATTCACTTCCTAGTTCAGGGTATGCAGAAGACTCCCAGGAGGAGGTAGTGTTTGAGCAGGGCCCAGAGGAGGAGGAGGCCAAAAGAKAAGGAGGCTTTCCTATGCAGAAGCAAAGGTACAGATCTGATAAATTGCAAGTGGATTTTCAAACCCAAACACCTTCTAAAAGGCCATTTATGGAAGAGGAAGGAAAAGAGGTGGGAGAAGAGGAGGAGGAGAAGATACCTCAGAAAGGTAAACTGGAGACACCTCCACTGACCAGCAATGAACCATTAAGGACAGGGAGTCTGGCTATTGCCAAGTCTGCCTTTAAAGCAAACATTGTTTTA